TTATTTCGTTTCATATTATAGCCCTTCATATTTCCCACCCATTACGTACTTATTGGTTTCATGTTGACCTTGGTTTTTTATTAGCTCCTTAGTCTTGTCCATTGAGTTTTTTCAGTCACAGTTTGTGCTGTATTTAGTATTCATAAAGACTTTGGTTGAAATGTTCGGTTGTGTTCGTCTGCGTCTTTTCTATTCCTTCCGTGAGCTGTCCAGTCAATTTTTGTGTTATGTTCAGCATTTCTTGCAAAAAGCTCTACTGCAGTCACCCCGTATTTACGTCATTACTATTTATGGAAGTAGTTGGGCACAATAAGTTGGCTATACACATACAGAATTATTACAAGAGGTATTTCACCGGCTCACCTGTAAACCGGCTATCGGCCATATTGAATACAACGATACACCCGCTGCACAAATGAAAGGCATTCACAGCTCACAGGGCTGCACCAAGCACTAAACTCAGTAGCTCAGGCTGAGAAACCATAGACTACCTTCCACGTGTGGAAACTGCATTGGCAAAGTGCTGTCAGAAGCAAAATTAACTTTAAAGATAAACATTCTGCCACCATACCTAATCCTCCATTTTAGACCAGCATGGTGATTGGAATGATATGATATACCAGTGAAAATAACATGTTTTTATTAAAACATGTTTGAAAGTTTCGTGTGCATTGGGAATTGATACATGTTTCAGTGACTGGTTTATAGTTGATATGGAGTGAAAAAGGAATGCTCTTTATCTCCTCTGTTATTTGTCATAACCATTGACTGGGTGCTGAAACAAATGTGTTGGAAACGCCAGCATTGACTGGGTGCTGAAACAAATGTGTTGGAAACGCCGGCATTGACTAGATGGAGAACACACAGTTGGAAACGCCAGCATTGACTAGATGGAGAACACACAGTTGGAAACGCCAGCATTGACTAGATGGAGAACACACAGTTGGAAACGCCAGCATTGACTAGATGGAGAACACACAGTTGGAAACGCCAGCATTGACTAGATGGAGAACACACAGTTGGAAACGCCAGCATTGACTAGATGGAGAACACACAGTTGGAAACGCCAGCATTGACTAGATGGAGAACACACAGTTGGAAACGCCAGCATTGACTAGATGGAGAACACACAGTTGGAAACGCCAGCATTGACTAGATGGAGAAAACACAGTTGGAAACGCCAGCATTGACTAGATGGAGAACACACAGTTGGAAACGCCAGCATTGACTAGATGGAGAACACACAGTTGGAAACGCCAGCATTGACTAGATGGAGAACACACAGTTGGAAACGCCAGCATTGACTAGATGGAGAACACACAGTTGGAAACGCCAGCATTGACTAGATGGAGAACACACAGTTGGAAACGCCAGCATTGACTAGATGGAGAACACACAGTTGGAAACGCCAGCATTGACTAGATGGAGAACACACAGTTGGAAACGCCAGCATTGACTAGATGGAGAACACACAGTTGGAAACGCCAGCATTGACTAGATGGAGAACACACAGTTGGAAACGCCAGCATTGACTAGATGGAGAACACACAGTTGGAAACGCCAGCATTGACTAGATGGAGAACACACAGTTGGAAACGCCAGCATTGACTAGATGGAGAACACACAGTTGGAAACGCCAGCATTGACTAGATGGAGAACACACAGTTGGAAACGCCAGCATTGACTAGATGGAGAACACACAGTTGGAAACGCCAGCATTGACTAGATGGAGAACACACAGTTGGAAACGCCAGCATTGACTAGATGGAGAACACACAGTTGGAAACGCCAGCATTGACTAGATGGAGAACACACAGTTGGAAACGCCAGCATTGACTAGATGGAGAAAACACAGTTGGAAACGCCAGCATTGACTAGATGGAGAACACACAGTTGGAAACGCCAGCATTGACTAGATGGAGAACACACAGTTGGAAACGCCAGCATTGACTAGATGGAGAACACACAGTTGGAAACGCCAGCATTGACTAGATGGAGAACACACAGTTGGAAACGCCAGCATTGACTAGATGGAGAACACACAGTTGGAAACGCCAGCATTGACTAGATGGAGAACACACAGTTGGAAACGCCAGCATTGACTAGATGGAGAACACACAGTTGGAAACGCCAGCATTGACTAGATGGAGAACACACAGTTGGAAACGCCAGCATTGACTAGATGGAGAACACACAGTTGGAAACGCCAGCATTGACTAGATGGAGAACACACAGTTGGAAACGCCAGCATTGACTAGATGGAGAACACACAGTTGGAAACGCCAGCATTGACTAGATGGAGAACACACAGTTGGAAACGCCAGCATTGACTAGATGGAGAACACACAGTTGGAAACGCCAGCATTGACTAGATGGAGAACACACAGTTGGAAACGCCAGCATTGACTAGATGGAGAACACACAGTTGGAAACGCCAGCATTGACTAGATGGAGAACACACAGTTGGAAACGCCAGCATTGACTAGATGGAGAACACACAGTTGGAAACGCCAGCATTGACTAGATGGAGAACACACAGTTGGAAACGCCAGCATTGACTAGATGGAGAACACACAGTTTGGAAACGCCAGCATTGACTAGATGGAGAACACACAGTTGGAAACGCCAGCATTGACTAGATGGAGAACACACAGTTGGAAACGCCAGCATTGACTGGATGGAGAACACACAGTTGGAAACGCCAGCATTGACTGGATGGAGAACACACAGTTGGAAACGCCAGCATTGACTAGATGGAGAACACACAGTTGGAAACGCCAGCATTGACTAGATGGAGAACACACAGTTGGAAACGCCAGCATTGACTAGATGGAGAACACACAGTTGGAAACGCCAGCATTGACTAGATGGAGAACACACAGTTGGAAACGCCAGCATTGACTAGATGGAGAACACACAGTTGGAAACGCCAGCATTGACTAGATGGAGAACACACAGTTGGAAACGCCAGCATTGACTAGATGGAGAACACACAGTTGGAAACGCCAGCATTGACTAGATGGAGAACACACAGTTGGAAACGCCAGCATTGACTAGATGGAGAACACACAGTTGGAAACGCCAGCATTGACTAGATGGAGAACACACAGTTGGAAACGCCAGCATTGACTAGATGGAGAACACACAGTTGGAAACGCCAGTATTGACTAGATGGAGAACACACAGTTGGAAACGCCAGCATTGACTAGATGGAGAACACACAGTTGGAAACGCCAGCATTGACTAGATGGAGAACACACAGTTGGAAACGCCAGCATTGACTAGATGGAGAACACACAGTTGGAAACGCCAGCATTGACTAGATGGAGAACACACAGTTGGAAACGCCAGCATTGACTAGATGGAGAACACACAGTTGGAAACGCCAGCATTGACTAGATGGAGAACACACAGTTGGAAACGCCAGCATTGACTAGATGGAGAACACACAGTTGGAAACGCCGGCATTGACTAGATGGAGAACACACAGTTGGAAACGCCAGCATTGACTAGATGGAGAACACACAGTTGGAAACGCCAGCATTGACTAGATGGAGAACACACAGTTGGAAACGCCAGCATTGACTAGATGGAGAACACACAGTTGGAAACGCCAGCATTGACTAGATGGAGAACACACAGTTGGAAACGCCAGCATTGACTAGATGGAGAACACACAGTTGGAAACGCCAGCATTGACTAGATGGAGAACACACAGTTGGAAACGCCAGCATTGACTAGATGGAGAACACACAGTTGGAAACGCCAGCATTGACTAGATGGAGAACACACAGTTGGAAACGCCAGCATTGACTAGATGGAGAACACACAGTTGGAAATGCCAGCATTGACTGGATGGAGAACACACAGTTGGAAACGCCAGCATTGACTGGATGGAGAACACACAGTTGGAAACGCCAGCATTGACTAGATGGAGAACACACAGTTGGAAACGCCAGCATTGACTAGATGGAGAACACACAGTTGGAAACGCCAGCATTGACTAGATGGAGAACACACAGTTGGAAACGCCAGCATTGACTAGGTGGAGAACACACAGTTGGAAACGCCAGCATTGACTAGATGGAGAACACACAGTTGGAAACGCCAGCATTGACTAGATGGAGAACACACAGTTGGAAACGCCAGCATTGACTAGATGGAGAACACACAGTTGGAAACGCCAGCATTGACTAGGTGGAGAACACACAGTTGGAAACGCCAGCATTGACTAGATGGAGAACACACAGTTGGAAACGCCAGCATTGACTAGATGGAGAACACACAGTTGGAAGATCTCATTTTGCTGATGATATTGTTTTGCTATGTAAAAACAGCGAGGACATGCCAAAAAAAATCAGCTGTTTTAACAAATACAGCATCAAAGGCTTGACTACAAATAAATTTTGAAAAGACAAATATATTGAAGACATCAACAACAGATCAAACAGATGTAACACCGAAGACAAAGGTTATTAAAGGAATAGATGAGTTCACTTATTTAGGTAGTAATTTTGGTAGTGAAGGAAGTACAAAGAAAGAAATTACGACACACAGTGGCAAGGCATCAGCAGCTTGTAATAGCTGGAACAAAATATGGATTTCTATATTGTATAGTTTGAAAACCACGTTACACATTTTGAATTCTAACATTATTTCAGTGTTAACATATGCCAGTTGGGGAACTAGAGATATGGAACGAACATTAAATGCATTTAAAAACAAATATCTGAGGAAATATTCTCCATGGGAGAAAACTGCAGAACTCATCAAGCTATCCAGGTGTAATGGAAATGACCTTTTACAGCTAGCCATCTGTTGACTTTTAGAATTATAGTAGGTGTGCTTCTTGGCATGGTGGAACATTGTTAGCTGTAGATTAAAGGATAATTAATTTTAAAAAATTTAAAGATGATCAAATTGTTATGTGTTGATCACATCATCTACCGTCTTTAAAATTGTTATGTTTTTTAAAATAGTTTTGTTATTTTGTTACAAAGATACAGAATTTTGAAAGACATGTTCAGAAATGCATGCAGGACAAACCATCAACACATATGGACATTTCAGGTTCCGAAACACAGCGATCTGACGGACCCGTAAGTTGTAGGCTTGCTTGTATTGACCTTTATGACAAATTTTTCATCATTATCACTCAGCTTTCCATTTATAGTCATGTGGTTTGCAGTATGTTCATCCAGTCCCTTCTTTGTGATATGAACGAAATCCAATTAAGCACCTTTTCCCACTCGTCAACATTCATTTAATAGTTTCTCTCTGGTGTCCTTTCTTTATTCTATGAGTATTTTTCCATTTATTTCCCTGTGGTGATTATCTGTCCATTTCTTATCAGGATTTTCCCACTGTATCGCTATCTTCATTGTCTGATTTCCCTGCCTTTCCCGAGTAAAAAATAAAGTAAAGATCCCTTTTCATGCCTTAGACACATCAGGCATATGGGAAGAGCACCCCATATTTTTACAGACCAGTCGGCACTAGCTGGGTAATCCTTTCTTGAGTTCATTCAGTTTAATGTTCATTAATTTCTTTCATTTGTTTTCAAATGCATTTAACTTTGGTTCAATGTCTTTCCTGTGTCTCAAATTTTTTTGGGTACATATTACATTTTAAATAACATTAGAATTAAAGCTACATAGCTTGATCCTAAACCTGTCGCTCCAAGAAGACTAAATCCATTTGTAAATGCAGGTGTATCGGTATATCTTCAGTCCTATAAATGCAGGTGTATCGGCGTGTCTTCAGTCCTATAAATGCAGGTGTATCGGCTTGTCTTCAGTCCTATAGATGCAGGTGTATCGGTATGTCTTCAGTCCTATAAGTGCAGGTGTATCGGTATGTCTTCAATCCTATAAATGCAGGTGTATCGGCGTGTCTTCAATCGTATAAATGCAGGTGTATCGGCGTGTCTTCAGTCCTATAAGTGCATATGTATCGGCATGTCTTCAGTCCTATAAATGCAGGTATATTGGCATGTCTGCAGTCCTTTAAATGCAGGTGTATCGGTAAGTCTTCAGTCCTATAAATGCAGGTATTTCGGCGTTTCTGCAGTCCTTTAAATGCAGGTATATCGGCGTGTCTTCAGTCCTATAAATGCAGATATATCAGGTGTATCGGTAAGTCTTCAGTCCTATAAATGCAGGTATATCGGCGTGTCTGCAGTCCTTTAAATGCAGGTATATCGGCGTGTCTTCAGTCCTATAAATGCAGGTATATCGGCGTGTCTTCAGTCCTATAAGTGCATGTGTATCGGCGTGTCTTCAGTCCTATCACTGCAGGTGTACCGGCGTGTCTTCAGTCCTATAATTGCAGGTATATCGGCGTGTCTTCAGTCCTATAAATGCAGGTGTATGGGCATGTCTTCAGTCCCATGAATGCAGGTATATTGGTGTGTCTTCAGTCCTATAAGTGCAGGTGTGTCGGCTTGTCGTCAGTCCTATAAATGCAGGTGTGTCGGCGTGTCTTCAGTCCTATAAATGCATGTGTATCGGCATGTTTTCAGTCCTATAAATGCAGGTATATCGGCGTGTCTGCAGTCGTATAAATGCATGTGTATCGGTATGTCTTCAGTCCTATAAATGCAGGTGTATCGGTATGTCTTCAGTCCTATAAATGCAGATGTATCGGCGTGTCTTTAGTCCTATAAGTGCAGGTGTATCGTTGTGTCTGCAGTCCTATAAGTGCATGTGTATCAGGGTGTCTTCAGTCCTATAAGTACAGGTGTATCGGCATGTCTTCAGTTTTGTAAATGCAGGTGTATCGGCGTGTCTGCAGTCCTATAAGTGCATGTGTATCGTCATGTCTTTAATCCTATAAAAGCAGGTGTATCGTCTTGTCTTCAGTCCTATAAGTGCAGGTGTATCGGCATGTCTTCAGTCCTATAAATGTAGGTGTATCAGCGTGTCTGCAGTCCTGTAAATGCAGGTATATCAACGTGTCTGCAGTCATGTAAATGCAGGTATATCGGCATGTCTGCAGTCATGTAAATGCAGGTATATTGGCGTGTCTGCAGTCCTGTAAATGCAGGTATATCGGCATGTCTGCAGTCCTATAAATGCAGGATTTTCGGCGTCTGCAGTCCTATAAATGCAGGTGTATTGGCATGTCTGCAGTCCTATAAATGCTGGTATATTGGCGTGTCTTCAGTCCTATAAATGCAGGTGTATCGGCATGTCCTCAGTCCTATAAATGGATATACAGTAGCTGCCTAGGGTATACAGTAGCTGCCTAGGATATACAGTAGCTGCCTAGGATATACAGTAGCTGTCTAGGATATACAGTAGCTGCCTAGGATATACAGTAGCTGCCTAGGATATACAGTAGCTGCCATGCTCCTCAGCAGAGATGGTAGGAGATATGCAGTGTGAATATATGCAGTAGTAAAGACTGATTACCCATAAAGCCGTAGTGGATGAGAAATAAACTGAACAAACACATCCTTGAGGAACCCATTTGTGAAATCATTCTGAATGTCAGTTGAGAATGGCAACAAGTTGAACTGCAAGGTTATGAGACTGCACAGAAAGTCAAGTTTTGTGTTGTTAAAGAATGAATGAAGGGCTGAGTGAATTAGGAAGGGACCTAATTTCCTACATGGGCTCCTTCCCTTTCTTTAGTAGCTAACAAAGAGTTTTCATTCTGCCAGTTTGTTCAAAGTCTGCACATTGGATGTCATCCAGACTTTCTGCCTCGTCCCTGCTGAAACAGTCTGTAAACTTTGTTCTGGCTGCATTGTCCGTTTGACCCCAGAGATTTGAATGGAACTGACATAGTCAAATAAATGAAGAGGAAGTATACTATATAGTAATGTGCATTGAGCAGGACAAGGAGAGGGGAGTTTATACAGAAGCATTGAGAATTACCTATGAGGGGGTAAGAGAGGACAAATAAAACAAGAAATGTGCACATTTAGCCACAACATGCCAACATCTGTAATTGATTTTTTGTTTTGACTCATGACAGATATCAGCTGAAGTTGCAGCTAAAGCCAGTTTGAAGTTAGTTGAGCCAATCCTGGGAGTCATTCATCATGAACTTGATAGAGCATTGCACTCATTGCAAGTACTAGAGGGTCACTATAGACAGCAACAAGCTCAGGTATATGTTACATAGATTGTTTTTATTAACTGTCAACATTAGAGAAGTCACATTTAAACAGCTCACTTATGGATCAAAATTAAGAAAATTATTTTCTTTTTTGTTGTTGAAATGATTGTGTGCATAAAATAGGATAAACATCTTGATAGCAAGCATTTCAGCTTCTTATTACATAATACAGTTAGAGCCAGCTGGCAAGTATCAAATATGATCACAATCAGTCATGTACTGGTGAAGATGGTCATGTAAAATGTCACGATGCACTGTATCAAATATCACTACAATCAGTCATGTACTGGTGAAGATGGTCATGAAAAATGCCACGATACACTGTATTAAATATAATTACAATCAGTCATGTACTGGTGAAGCTGGTCATGAAAAATGTCACAATAGACCGTATCAAATATAATTACAATCAGTCATGTGCTGGTGAAGACGGTCATGGAAAATGTCATGATACACCGAATCAAATATAATGACAGTCAGTCATGTGCTGGTGAAGACGGTCATGGAAAATGTCATGATACACCGAATCAAATATAATGACAGTCAGTCATGTGCTGGTGAAGATGATCATGGAAAATGTCATGATACACCGAATCAAATATAATGACAGTCAGTCATGTGCTGGTGAAGATGGTCATGAAAAATGTCATGATACACCGTATCAAATATAATTTCAGTCAGTCATGTGCTGGTGAAGATGATCATGGAAAATGTCATGATACACCGTATCAAATATAATGACAGTCAGTCATGTGCTGGTGAAGATGGTCATGGAAAATGTCATGATACACCATTGATGCAGACAGAGAATTACCAAACAGACACTGCAGCGGAAAAGAAAGTTTGCAAGGTTAGAACAGAATCAAAGAATTGACAGTGAGCCCTACAAATAACACATTAATACTAACTAACTTTCAGTTGTTGATAACACTCATACAATAAGGGGTCAAGTAGGGATGCATACTGTCTCAGGCATGCTTCACTTCTGCACAGCAAAGTATTTTCAGAGATACGGAAATTATAGTAGGCATAAACATTAGGGAGACAAAACACTAACAGTCTAAGATATACAGATCACACATTGTATTTCGCAGTGGAACACAACAGCTACTGAAACTGCTGGACATAGTCAATATGAAATACCAACTTTGCAGTTTAGAATTTAGCATTAAAATACAAGAATAATAAATTCAGTTGGAAGAACAGACTAGCCTCATATAAATGATGAACAGATCACACTATATCTAGCTTGGCCAAACAACAACAAAAAATTGCATATGTAATGTAGAAATTATATATAAATCAAATTTTCAAGTGTGTACATTCAGCAACATGAAACATGTACTTTTCTTTAAATATATCTACAAAACTTAAGGCTAATCAAATACTGTGTGTATTTAGTACTAGAAGTGGCCGGTGGACTGGTGTGGAGTTACCGCCTCAACCTCAAATCTCCTGCCAGAGGTGGTAATGGTGTATGCCAAGCTCAAGTGTATGGAAGACATCAAGAGATGGTCTGGTTGATGTCAGTATGAATGCACCATAGACACGCATGTACTTTGCCACATCAAACTACCTAACAGTTTATTGGAGAAAAATTGCAGAAGCAAACAATTTTGTGTATATTATATACACACTTGAGTGCGCACACACACACGCACGCACACACAACACACGCACACACACACACACACACATCCCCAATCTTTGCTGACAAAATGTCACTGGATCATTGTGAAATGCAAATAACAGGCAGACATATCATGGCAAGGTCTGGCCATAAAAAAGTTATTACAAAAACTGGATTTAAAAAAAAATATAATTGCCGTTTGAAACTGAAGTCCTATAGTGAGGGTACTTTGGCTTTTTTAGATCTCTATGTACAACAATAAGAAGGAGACATAAACACGATTCTTTGACCATGTAATGAGAAAAGAGGCATTGGACAACACTGTGACAACTGGAAAGATCAGTGGAAAGAGGGGTAGAGGCTGACCAAGAGAGATGATGCTAGATGGGCTGAAATGATGGCATGGAGGGATATCATCAAGAGAGCTGTTCCAGGCAATCAGTGATCGTCATCTGTGGAGATGCATGAGCGCCTACACCAACTGGCAAGGCACATGATGATGATGATGATGTTGTTCAACCATAGTCCTTCGTTCTCCAAAGTTCCTGTTATATTGTTGACATTCCTTTTTCTATGTATCCACCTTTCCTGCATGATTTTGAAAGACAATTAAAAAAGTATTATTATTTCTACATGTAAGTTTTTCCTGTAAAATACTTATTTTAATATCATTATTATATTATATTACCATTTTCGATAGCTTGATGAGATAGAAAACCAGTTCCGCCTACAGCAGCAGCAACTGCAGCTGAAGGATGCTGCCTTAGCTGATGTTGAAATGAGACTGGCTGCTCAAGAATTGGCACGTTATGATGGTACTATTTTGTGGAAGGTTTCAGGATTTGAGGGAAAAAAACGAGAGGCTATCAGTGGTCAGACAACCAGTTTATACTCCCCGGCATTCTATTCTGGGCCTGTGAGTATATTTTAAATTCATTTCTCTCTCTCTCTCTCTCTCTCTCTCTCTCTCTCTCTCTCTCTCTCTCTCTCTCTCTCTCTCTCTCTCTCTCTCTCTCTCTCTCTCTCTCTCTCTCTCTCTCTCCCTCCCTCCCCCCTCCCTCTCTCTCTTTCTTTCTTTCTTTCTTTCTTTCTATCTTGAATATCATATTACAAGAAGAAAGGGAAATGGTAATCATATTTCTTATGGCAGAAACCAGAGTATCATTATTTCACTGAGGGCAAATGTAGTGGGGCTCCCTGTGGCCATTTTTTTTCCAGGTTGGCACAGTATCATAATTTTAGGTTGGCACAGTATCATAGTTTTAGGCTGGCACAGTATCATAATTTTAGGTTGGCACAGTATCATAATTTTAGGTTGGCTCAGTATCGTAATTTTAGGTTGGCACAGTATCATAATTTTAGGTGGGAGTATCAAAGTAAGTGTTATAATTCTAGGAGAGGGGCTCTGTGAGTCTCTAATGAGGTCACTCATATTCGTCTATCTTATATCACAATCATTGTTGTTTATATGTTGACCATTATATGTTATGCAGAGCTCGCTCACAGTTTGTTCCTCCATTCCGTTCTGTCTTGTGCAATGGGTTCAATATGATGGGTGGAATCTGGTCCAGCACCATTGGCCTCCCTCATCATTGTTCATTTTAAGGTTTCTTTTGGCATCTTAACCTCATTAATCCCTTTATTTCTTTTTTGAGTGCCAGTTTTGTCAGGATGTGTCCAATATAGCAGCATCTTTTTTTCCGTCACCCCGCAAAGAGCAAGGTTTTGGATAGCGCAAGCTTAAGACACAATTGGACATGTGTGCAGGCTTGATAAATTTAGGCGAGGAGAGGAGTGGGTCAAATTGTCCGACCAGGTTTCAGACCTATGTAGGGTTCTAATCACTTTGGGATGTGAGTGCAGGGACTTGCCAGCTGATGCTACAGAATCAGAAGTTCAAGAAATGATTCATGAAAATTCCCGCCCAAGTGATGTGATTGTCTATACAGAAGGCTCTGTGTTGAGGGGCAGATGAAGTGCATTGGGGTTCATAGCAAAGGGGAATGGACATTGCTTGGTGCAACAAAGCCTGGCATATGATATCACAACGTCTAGTTTGAGAATGGAGGTGGAGGGAGTCTCTGCTACCTTCCGCTGGCTTGAGAATCAACTGTACACACATGTCGTGATTGTAACTGACTCACAGAGCATGTTGAGAAATGTAGAGACAGGAACGCTCCGTGCAGAGAGGCAAGCATCACTTCAAAGGTCCCGGGTAGGTAGCATCCTTTGGATATTTTCACCAGGTATGCCGGTGTGTTGGGAAATGAGCAGGCAGATAGACTGGCTGGTTCTGCAAGTAAAGAGTGCAGAGGAACAGATAGATCATTACGGTCTGAGGAGAATGGCACTGCAAGGACTTATAAAGGGGTCTGGCTGACGCTCGACACTCAGGAGAAAGGCGAGACGAATATACAATCAGACAGTTACTGGTACCGTCAGAATTATTACTCTTCGCTTACTGCTGAAGATGGGGACGGAGCGCTTATGGGGTGTCCCGAGTGCTGTGATGTCGATTCTTAATTCAACATCCAACCTTCTTGGAGAATTTTTTCCTTTGTTCTCGGTTGCTTGACTGATTTCCTTTTTAGATGTGTTCATAGTTGGTTGACCTTAGCCCCTGAGGCTATGAGACAGGGCAGAAACCTTAAGACGGATCCTTTCTCACCATATAACATGCAGCATTACTATTTTTTGCTTCCTGTAACTGCTGTTAAGAATTCTGTCTTTTTTGTTAGTTACATATTACATTGGTTTGTTCCTTAGTAGAAATAAGTGTATGTAAAAATCATTAACAGGCTTTGTGAATGTGAGCCTGTGTTGGTGCACGCACTAGGTAACAAATAATATGTATTTGTGGAGAATGGGATGGGTGAGGTGAATGGTAGAGAGATTAATGAGATGTTATATAATATATGTCTGAATATTGCTGGACTACAGTTATGTCCAGGCAACTTGAAGTTTCTTTTACTAGATATGTTTTATTTTGTTTTTCAACAGTGTGGTTACAAAATGTGTGCAAGAATCTACCCAAATGGAGATGGCATTGGCAAAGGATCACACATTTCATTGTTCTTTGTGATTATGAGAGGTCATTATGATGCTTTGTTACCTTGGCCATTTTCACAAAAGGTGAGATAAAGGTATAACAGTTCTCTTTTACAGTCGTTTGCAGGCATCTCTACAGTTAATGATGATTTTAAAATTGTCATAAAGGTGTTGGCATACGATTTTTAGATTTTAGTTTGTAAGTAAAGTAAAGGGCCCTTTTCCACGCCATCAGGCATGTAGGGCATAAAGGGCTAGTCCTATATTTTTATAGACCAATTGACACAAGATGGGTGATGTGGTCAGCACCTCGCCGGCCGCCTTTACTTTCCCGGGACTGCACCCGGTACCCACTCCAGCCCCTGGCTGTTGTGTGGTTTTTATAGGCAAATTTGCTTCTAGTAGTTTGCCATTGCTTTCTAGACAGTCGGCTTTCTTGAGACCACTGTCGAAACCAACGCAAGGCGCATGGCCTGCAGCTGGAATTGAACCCGGCATCCCGGCATTACAAAGCGTTCGCATCGACTTAGCCATTAGCCGACTTGGCATGATGACAAGTTCATTATTTAAAAAACAAAAAATTAAAGTGAAGGTGCCTTTTCCACGCCTTTAGGCATATAGGGCTAGACCTATATTTGTATAGAACATTTGGCACAAGATGGATGATGTGGTCAGCATCAAGCCGGCTGCCTTTACTTTATAGACTGTAGTCGGTACCCAGTCAAGGCTGGGATGATATGGGGGTGAAGGTCTTTTTTAAAAAAAAAGTCTGGCTCTGCCAGGGAGCAAACCCACGACCTTCCGATCTGCACGCGAGTGTCTAGCCGCTACGCCACGGCGACTCCCCAGGTTAATTTTTACTTTAATATATTATAAACAAAAAGATCTGATCTGATCAGCTCTCATGGAAAGAAGCAGTAACATAGAAGTAACATAGACAACATACAAACTGGAAACTTAGATTACCATGCCAGGAATCTAACCTCCAAATAATGACAGCACTTCACTGCAGCAACAAGTTACTAAGACACATGACCAACCAGGCACCCCTGAAAAAAGATATCTTTTTTCAACCATGTCTGTTGTACAGCTTGAACCCGCAGTCATGGAATAGAGCAGGAATTTATTACAAAACATTGAAATAGCATCATCAGTTACAGAAATTCGTGTTAATGAGACATAGGTCAACTAACAAACACAACAGTTATAAACTCAACAGACTATAATCCTACATCTGGTACAAATGAAAATTCAAAGAAGAGATTAGATTGGTCACTTCCATTGTTTTGCATGTAATACATAGAAATAAACAGATGGGGAACCCTTAAGGCTGTGGGAACAGTATAAATGATAAACAAACATTTATTGATTGGAACGTATACAGATGGCAGGACGCACCAGACAGCATAAGATAACTAGATAACATTTTATTTTTCTCCTAACTTTATCATCATAGTTGAACAGACTTCCACACCTGTTGTCGTTCTGAATGTGTTTATGCTGTGACTTCCCTCACACTGAGTATATAAAGTATATAGTTGAACAGACTTCCACACATGTTGTTGGTTCTGAATCTGTTTATGCTGTGACTTCCCTCATGCTGAGTATATAAAGTATATAGTTAAACAGACTTCCACACATGTTGTTGGTTCTGAATCTGTTTATGCTGTGACTTCCCTCACACTGGATATACAAAAATATATGTGGTGAACATCAGACTAGGACTGAAACCAGTCATTCATTTAATTAAATATTAACAGATGACACTGTCTGGCCATCTGACAATAATGTCTTGACACCAACTGCCACAGAGAGCCATGCTGAAGAAATAAAACAGACACAGAACAAGAGTAAGACCAGACAGGATATGGAATGATGGCATCAAGAACAGCCCTGAACAGAAATGAAAAGAAGACCTTATACAGAACGTTGGAAAGAGCACACAGAAAATCCTGATATTTTGACAAAATAACTCGAGGAAATGAAGAAGAAGTGTACATCAGTACCACACAAACCAGTCATATTTTTAAATCAGTCTGGATATCCCTTCAGTGTTATCACTTCACTTTCCACTGTTGTATATCTAGTACTTATGTTATTAAATACCTGACCTTGCACTCCCTTTTTGTCAAAAAGTTGACTTCTCTAAAATCTATCAGATAGCCTTTCTTGGACACACAAAAAAAAAATTGTATTACATGTGTGTGTGTGTGTGTGCGTGCGTGCGTGCGCGCGTGCTTGTGTGTGCATGTGCTTGTGCCTGTGGATATGCCTGTGGATATGCCTGTGGATATGCCTGTGTGGGTTAGGACTTTGGATCGACAACAACTAAAAAAATGGGGGGGGGGGGGGGGGGGGGGGTGGGGGTGATGGCGACAGTGAGATATTCTGTATTGAGTTTGACTGTCTATGTTTCAGTTGTATTTTATAATTATCAAAGAATATTATATTGAACTTTTTACTTTCAAGAAAACTAGTTGGATTTCAAATCAACGGCAAAATTGAGTTTATGAACACAATTTTTTTACATAAAGAATGTAAAGTTGAGAAACATTTGAGGTGAGAAACATTTGTTTCCATCACTTGTATTGGGCATTTGAGGGTTATATATCATCTCCTGCAAATACACACTGGCCAGAAATACTGATTACTTCCCCCCTCCCCCACCCTTCCCACTTCATCAATATGATTCTAGGTGACCCTTATGATGATAGACCAGAACCATAAAGAACACATTGTGGATGCATTCAAGCCGGATCCTACAAGTTCTTCTTTTAAGGTATGTTATAAATGGGCAGTATTTGCAATCTTTTTCTTATAGTACAATAATTGAGTATACATAATCCCCCTGTAGGTTCCAGGGCCCTGTTATAGGGAAATCAAGAATAGACCCACTGCTTACCTAAAAGCATGTTGTAAGAGTCAACTAATTGGGAGCTTCCTTAGAAGTCGGAGTACATCTGCCTGAGAGGCAAGGAACCAGCAGTCTGCATAAAAATGAGTCAGATCTGTAAAACGGATGCTAATGCAACACTCAGGTTCTGGAACAGGACTGCAGTCTAAAAGTGGATGAACAACCAGGACTTTCCACCAGAGTTCACAGCTGGTAAACACGAAGAAGAAGAAGAAGAATACACAACACAAGTCTATTTAGACATCAGGATCCGGATAACCAACAAAGAACACTTTTTCGACCTGGATAAATTAAATAGTAAATTAAATGTCATCTACCTAAAGAAGCAAAAGTCATTTGATGTATCCATAATTGTTGACTGCATTGACCCCTTGGAATACATTTATTTTTCCTTTACGGCAAGATAGCTGCGTCCATGGCTTAGGCCTTGCGAGTCCGACTTGTAATTACAAAGTACCGCGATCGAAACCCACTGCTGGCTGCGTGGATTTGTATTGTCGCAGGTCAACCCAGCCTAAAATGGGTACCAGGAGTGGCAACAGTGTCTGCTATCTCTGTAAACTCCAGGGCCGGAGTGGCAAGAGTGCTCAGCCTACCAGTTATTACATTTAAAATTACTCCAAACCAACTCCATCAGCCAAAAAAAAACAGCAACAAAACCATCCCTTTGTATCAAGTCAAGCTGTATTATTTGTAAGTACAGAGCCATCTAAAAATGCAGAACAAAAAAGACATTTAATGATTTCCGCAGATGAGCAGATATTGATAGAGGTGGAAAAGAAAATGAAAGAAAATTTTCAAGATTCTGTGCAACAAATTGTTCAAAAAGATTCTAACTCATTCATTTTGCATCATCCTGAGAACCTATATGGTATAGCAGCTGCTAGCAAGTTGAAGTAAAAATTTGTAGATCATGAATCTTTCCTGTGACTGCTTATGGATATATCATAGACTTACTCAGTCTTTGAAGGAAGAAATTATTTTAGAAAGGATGAAAGCTGAGTATTAGAAAAGAAATGGATTAAACACAAATGTTGTTAACAATGGTCCTGAAATCCCATGCCATCATTGTGGAAGACTTTTCTTGACACGGGTGGGTCTTGCTAGTCACACTCACCATCGCCATGGGATGTGAGTCCCATACCTCCTCATAGCGCAATATAACACTATCGTCTGGAAAGATGGAAAGGTGGCAGTGATGAATGACGTCTTTGAAGAAGAAAATCTGACGAAGAAAACGAAAAACGTTGACATCAAGGAGAACTGGCTCATAAACAGCATCCTCTCCTGAAAGCTAAGGTATTTCGGACATGTCAAGCACAATGGTGGTCTGGAAAGAATGGTGATGAAGGATGCAGTTTCTGGAAGACGAGGCAGAGGCCAACCATCGTGAATGTGGAAGTAGAAAGTGATGATGCGTTGGCTGTGAAAGCACCCAGGGCTGGAGAATTGGCTGGAGAAATAGAGACTTGTAGGTGTGCCCTGGACAGAGCCACATTCTGTAGACATGCTGATTGATGATGATGAAAAATGCAACCTTGTCTGGGCACAAACAGTGGTTCACTTCTAAGACCACCGCAGGTCCCCCACAGCTTTTGTTGGGGTATAGCTGTCTTGGGCTGGATCCCTAATCTCTGCTGTGAGTAGATTGGGCTGTGCTGCAGCAGATATTCAGAAGCCTGTTCGATTGTTCTGCAGTCACAGTTGGTAGATTTTGCTATACCTATTCTGTGTAGGTGTGCTCCGTAACCAGTGTCCTATGTGAATTGCAAGGGTAAATAAAAATAATTGTGACTTGTATTAATATTTGTTAAGTTTACTAATTTGTATAAAAAAAACTATCAGAGTTTTGTTAAAAATTTGCAAGTGAAACTAATATGGTATTTACTGTGTGACACCTTCTGTGTCAGTAATGTGTAACAAATGAATTATTTATTGTCTGATTAGAGACCTACAACAGAAATGAACATAGCAAGTGGATGTCCATTGTTCCTGCCCTTAGACAAGCTTCACAGTCGACAGTATGGCTACTTGCGAGATGATACCATCTTTGTTAAAATTATAGTGGATACTGAAGGTCTTGATAGATACACAGAAATGAATCCTGGCAGATTTAGCACAGGTTACCCGTAGTAGAAAATTGTCTCATTTAACTTCAAAATGCTCATCTACATGGAAAATATTTCAAAAGAATGATTGCATCATCACAGTTTGTCAAGAAAATGATACTTAACATGAAACATTTTTTCTGAGACTATCAGTTATAAGATGATCATACAGTGTGGATAGTGACATTCTAGCTTATTGTCTGATATACTGTCCATCATATGTATTACCAGTATATGATTCTTATTCATAATTATTTTAATTCATGCATTTTTGTTATTCATGGTTTGCTTTCCTCATATATAATATGAACATCATATGTTTCAGGCATATTGTAGACAGAATAACCTACTGAACATATTGTAACATAACTATACTAGGCTAGGCAGAGCTAACAGATACATTTGAAAAAAACAGGTGTGTGACAGGGATGTCTTCTGTCACCTCTCCTATTTTTACTGGCTATAGACTGGATTATGAAGACAGTAACTGCCAACACCAAGAAGTTTTTTAAAGGGTTAGGAAATTTTAGGGAAGAGAAAAAGTTGGTAAGAAAAAAAAAACTGTTTATGTTAGCTTTACAAAATCGATCACAATAAACAAACAAAGAATGTTGCGGCGATTAGCCTTCATCAGCACATAAAGAACAATACAGTACACATACACAAATATGCTCTAACTATGAAGTGACTACATGGGACTCTAATGTACAAAATAAATGATACTCATCTGTGTCCCTGGCAAAAAACTTCCTTCAAGAGAATGTCAAGGACAGGTACTGGCCTATTTATCACCAACGCGTGGACGGGAAGCAAAAAAGGGGTTCAGTATAACTTGGAAAACAACGTACACTGAGTGTCTAAAGAGGGAGGGAGGGGTTGGCCAATAAGGCGTAACCCGGGTTGGGTCGTGGGGATGACATTGGTCCATCTCATGGAATAAAAGTGGTGCCTGTGCTAACGAACAAATACCAACAGACAGGCAGGCAGGCCAGCAGACAGGCATGCTGATAGATAGACAGACAGACAGAGAGATAGATAGATAGATAGATAGATAGATAGATAGATAGATAGATAGATAGATAGATAGATAGATAGATAGATAGATAGATAGATAGATAGATAGATAGATAGATAGATAGATAGATAGATAGATAGATAGATAGATAGATAGAAGAATGGAATTTAGTTAAGCCCCACAAAACAGCTTTCGCTGATGATATTTCTCTTCTGTCCCATTCACGGAATCAGATGCAAGATAAATTAAATATACTTGATGCGAGATCACAGCAACTAGGTCTGAAAATCCATAAAGGAAAGACAAAGATAATGAGAATAAATCAGGCAAATGGTAATGTGGTTTCTCTTAATGGCATCCCACTCCAAGACGTGGAGTCGTACACCTATTTAGGCAGTAATGTAGATAAAGATGGAGGAACTGATAGAGATATTAAAATAAGAATACAAAAGGCAAGAGGTGCCTTCATAGCACTATGGAGTTTGTGGAGGTCAAAACAAATTAAAAAATATACTGAACTAAAAAATTTTTAATTCTAATGTCAAATCAGTACTTTTTTATGGGGCGGAAACATGGAGAACATCTAAGGCAATTACTAATAAATTACAGACATTCATTAACTGGTGCCTGCACAGAATAGGGGAATTAAATGGTATGATAGAATCACTAATGTAGAGCTTTGGGAGAGAACTAAGCAAGCTCCAGTGGACCAAGAGGTGAAGAAAAGACGCTGGCCTTGGATAGGACACATTTTGTGAAAACCGGAGAACAAAATAACTAGAATGTCTTTGCATTGGAACCCACAGGGGCATAGGAATAAATGAAGGCCAAATAATACATGAAGAAGGAAGCTGGAGAATGAAGTTAAAAAAAAAGGGAAGGACATGGGGAGAGCTGCATGCGATAGCAAAAGATAGAACCACTTGACATGAGTTGGTTGAGAGCCTGTGTTCTATTGGAGGCTAGAAAGGCAGAAGAAGAAGAAGGCTAGGCAGGGTATTTAATCATTGTAGAAAAATATATGAATTGGAATAGAGTTGAAACATATATCACTGTGACTAAATAGCAGGGTCTTTTTTCTAATAGTGAGATTTCTGAGAATTGTTGCATCCTCGTGCCCCATAAATGTCGAGATCCAGGCTTGTTTTTTGATGGCATTCTGTCTTTGGGGTGGTGATTACTACACCTGCATAACAGCTTTGGTGCTCGTTGCAAATGTATAGTATGTAGACATGGTGAGTATGATTACCCACCCCCATATGCAAGGTTGAAAAAAAAAATCAGGTTCTGGGTCATCTTTGTGTCATAATTAACTTACTGGACATTGTGTAGCTAGATGTGGCTATTTTAACAAAACCTAATGTGTCTGGGTCATCTTTGTGTCATAATAAACTTACTGGACATCATGTAATATGTTTGGGTCAAAGGGAGTGAAAGCAGTTAATGCTTTTTTTTCATTTGTATTTAGTGATTAAAAAAACCCTTACTAGACCACATATTTTGTGGGTTTTAAAATTACACATTATATATATATATATATATATACACACACACACACACCACAAACACACATATGTGTGTGTATTAATGACTTGTGTTTGTGGGGGGGGGGGGGGGGGAAGGGGGGTTGATGACACAATTGCTAGCAGGCTTGCCTGGCTTAGTGGTCTAAGTTTCCGCCCCCAGGAGTTTTATAAAAACTGATCATGTCTCCAAATTTCTTCTTTTTCTCTAGTTTGTTAGGGAGGAGTTTATGAGAATGATTAGAATGGGTTTTTAACTAATAAAAACGTTTTTTTAAATTTTTTTTTCAATTCTTTTAGGTTGAAACCTTTAATATAGCCAAGAAAACGAAAATAGCATTTCTGCTCTGGCTATTATTACACTCTGGGGACTTTAACACCCTCTGGACTGAATTGCCAACACAGTTTCATTAAAACTCCTAGGGGATTGAACTGCCCTGACAGTTTTATCTCTAACCCCCTAGTTATGGCCCTGGTACTCCACAGGGGGTATTTATTCCCCCAGGTGACACGTGTAGGCATTCTGCTGAGAAACAACTGACCCGGCTGCTGTGAGATAGCAGCTAAGTGATTTTGTATATTTGTGTAGTATTGTTTGATTTGTATGTACTGATGAAGGCTCCATAGCCGCAACGTTCACGTTTTGTTTGTATTTGTTATATTGTGAAGCTTGCTAATATACTTTTTGTTCGGTTTTATATCTTTTCTGGTTATTAAAGTACATTTGTAACATACAAGTATTGTAGTATTTAAATGCAATCTTGAAGGTAAGATTTTAATAGGTTAATAAATTTTAAAGTGTTAGACATCTTTCAACTTAAATATGCTCTTCTAGAGTTTTGTATTTACGTTTCTGGCATGTTTTTATCAAAAACTAACATACAAAGTTATGAAGATGTAAATATTTGTGCGTTGTATACTATATGTCACAAAGAAATGAACAAAATGTATATTCTCCCCCACTCCCCAGGTAATGAATATTTTATGTATGCGTTTTTTTCACCGGTAAAGGCATGAGGCACTAACTGATTCTTGCACTTGTGGCTAGACTTTATGTGGAGACATATTTTGCTTGTTGTCTAGCTGTTGATATTGCAATGAGATATCTCTGCATTGTAACACTGGCCATTTTGAGTATTACATGTAAGACAGACATAGATACAAATCTGCATGATACAGTTTTTTTGTCCCTGTGTTGAATAAGGTGATTTAGAAATGGGGAAGCTCTTTCAAAGTCTAGGCAAATCTATGAAGTAACTAAAGTCACAAGACAAAAATTATTTTTTATCATTATGGTCCAGAACTTTTAATAAAATATTTCTCAATATAAACGAAGAGTAGTGGACACAATTCTGAGAGGAGAACTAGATAGTTTTTGACCAGAAGGAGCTGTTAAGATCAAATAAATACAAGGAGACTTATTTTGAACTTCATTGACTTTGAGAAAATGTTTGATAGCTTACACAGAATATTACTGTGGACAGTCTTGGAATGTTATGATCTACTAATGAAAATCTTCTTCTTCTTCATTTCTCTTTTGCCACTTTGGGTGTCGGGGGAGATATAAGCTTCTGCTTCTTCCTTTTCCGTCCACCTGGACACAGCATACTGTTGTAGAGTTTCTCTGATGATATCTTTCCATATTTTCTTGGTCTACCTGATGCTCTGTGTCCATCCTTTTGGTGTATGCCTTATGTCAGTGTTTCTCAACATGTAGGCCATGGCCCATCGGATTGCCACAGAAAGATCCAGGTGGGCCGCCAAAAATGTCTTTATGATCTTGTAACGATGTAGGGTAGTTAGTTTTTCTATTTTAGGATTGCGGTTTGCAGGATTAAAACATGGATGATGAGAATCAAAAGTTATGACATCAGCTGAAACTTGTAATTTTGTGACATCATATTTAACAAATAAACTCTTGATCTCTTCCGGTCACTCATGTAGCACTTCTCAGACATCTCATTTCCATGGTTACTAATTTTTTAATTTTGTGTGTGTGATTCTGTACTGATAACGTAGAATGGGAATGAATAATTTTTGGTTGCATGAGATGTTTATTTGTGCTGATCAGGATTGCCTTATGCTGTAAAGAAAAGGGAAAAAGGGGTGGGGGGCGAAGCTAGTTGTTACACTTGGTTGTCTTTTCTGCATATGATGTTAATTTCTGTATCTGATATACCATCTTCGGTAAATCTTGTTTCCAGATATTTAAATTCAAATGCATACTTAGTGTTTTTGCACTTTACTGTTAGATTCAAGTATCAACACTGAATTGGCAGATGTAATGTCAGTAGGGAGAAAGAAGCAGAGGTTTTAGGTTGTGCGAAACCTCAAACCTCTGCTTCTTTCTCCCTATTGACATTACATCTGCCTTTTCGGTGTTGATTCTCATTTCATTTGTTTTACAATCTTCATTTACGCATGTGAGATTTGTAGTATTAAGGTTGTATCTGCTATCAAGACGTGATCACCAGCAAAGAGTAATTC